TGTGAGGACGACAACGCGAAAGGTTGCTGATGTTATGAAGTAACACTGTGTTTGCTTCTGTACTGCTGGTGTTGGAGTATATGGGTGTGTGTGTGTGTGTGTGTGTGTGTGTTCGTTCAGATCACAACAAGACTTCACACTCTGTCCTCGCCAAGAACACGCTGACTGCCAGAAACCAGGCAGACGAACTCAGCTAAAACACCCATGGACGCAGACCACACACACACACACCCACACACACCCACACACACACACGCACTGATTACCTACCAGGTATGATCTTCATCTAAGAGACAGTGCAGAGGAGGAAGAAGAGAAGGACAAAGGTGAAGAAAAGCCAGAGCTGGATGGAGGGGAATGAGAAGCACCAGAGAGATTCCTGTTTGTTTGCTCTCTGCTGCCTTGCCTTCCTCTCCTAGTCTCAGGTTTTGACAGGCTGCCCCTGCTGCTCGGATCCGTCAGCCTCGCTCTCCCATGGCCGGGGGAGGAGGGACGACACGGTGAGCCTTAGTTAGGGGGCAGCGGGTAGGTGGGGTGCAGGGGATGGAGGGCCAGGGCTGGCAGAGGCCTATAAATATCCTCCAGAACCAGATGATCGCACAGTGTCACAGTTAGAAGTTGATGGAAGGACTCCATCGGGACAGAGCAACAAGCAGGACCCCCGGCCCTCCACCCCTCCACCCAGGCACTCTGACTCTTAGCTTGCCTCTTTGAAGATGCTGGGATGATGCCAAGTGTCAGATCTCAGCCAGAAACTCTCTTAACTGTGACGTGAATATTAAACGCAGCAGTCGTCTGGTAATGTTATCAGCCTGATTAAAGACTGAAGACACGACCGCATATCTTCAGTGACTTAAGACTGAATTGTTCTTTTAGCTTGTTTGGGAGATATTTGACCAGATACTGTTTAAGTGAATGGGTGCAAACAGAGGAAAGGTTGGAGAACCCATAAATAGAAACCGCAGGCATAAATAAGAAAAGTGGTAGCAAACAGAGAAGGGATTTAACGACATGCGACCTGCTTCACAGAGACAGTCCATGAAATCATGGCTGAGGCATTCAGAGTAAATCACCCGCTGCTGCTGGGATTAAGCTAATGCTCAGCATTCTCTAAATATAGAGAACTCCAATGTACACAAAGCTCTGTCGATTGTTTTGCTGACAATCTGCTCCAGTTGTGTGAGACACAAACCGTGCAGGAGATTAGAGAGAGTCACCGATTTGAAGCTACTAAAGATAGCCGTCCTACGGTGAAATGAAAAGAATCTATACCACAGGAAGCGGTTAGAAGAGCATGGCATGATCCTCCTTCTGTGACACATGAACATACAGATACACTAACTAATCGCTTCCCTGTCGACAGGTTCTCTTTCGGGGAGCTGCGGATCCCTGCAGCTCCTCCAGAGTTCCAGTGGGGCCTCCTGGCTGCCTGTCAGTCAGAAATACGATCCTTGCTCTGCCTTTCAGCCTCTCAGTTTCGGATTGGTGGACATGTCTAAGTAAATCTCTTTCCATCTTGAAACGGCATGTTCAAAACATGATAATTTTGGGAACAATTCTAAAAAAGAATTGGTTGCGACGGGACACAGCACCGCTGACAACGCAGTAGTGGGTTCTCCAGGCCAGTCGGCGGCGCTGCAGAGCGACTGGAAAAACACCAAGCACAGAACGCCGTCATCTTAGTTAATCGTGCGCGTGGAACAAAGAGAGAAAAAGAGTGAGGGAGCTTCGTCATCATCGTTTCTAAAAAAAAAAAAACTTGCATAGTATAGTATGTACATGCGGAAACATGAAAGCACCGTTGTGAAATGCACCTACTCTGGGAATTGGTTTAAAAAAATGATAATTTCTCCAAAACGGCAGATGCACGTGAACAAAATGAAACACTTTAGAGACACACCTAAGATCGTCTTCACATCCTAAATAAAGCAGCTTTGCTTATAAATACTTTTGCAATGCATGCTGAAGCAGCCTCTAAGATTTCTCACAGATCTGAAATACTATTAGTCATCCTCTTCTATAAGGCCCGACAAGTTCCCTGGGAAATGACTAATGCCACAACTATCCAGGCCAAACCCTTAATATATTCCACATGTTATCGATCACTCTGTTTCAGAGGGTGGGCCTAGAGCAGGTTAACTGTTACGCCGCTTCGGCAGATTTGTAGAAAAATTGGAATTGGAAACAAATGCACTAAAAACCCCCCACCCCCAAAGAATCCATGAAGTGGCTGTGCTTCTATTTTCACAATTCACTGTTTTTTGTTTCGACCTGCGACTCATGTTACCATTTCAGTGTAAAAATGTCTGCGCAAGTGTGTCACAAGTTCATGAGATGTGGAGCGCAACGTTCCCCTCCTCATAACGAAATACTGGGAGTGATTTAACAGCAAGAGTCGACAGTAAAAGATATGGCAGGTCCCTTAAGGTCGCTTGGTGTGTTTGGGCAAAACATCACTGCTGGCCTGTGGCAGGAGCAGCAACGGGAGATTTCAGGCAACTTAATCCCAACAAAGTCCTCCTTCAGACACGAAGGGTTAACGCCTTCATTGTGTCCTTCGGTTTTAACCATTTTGCTGAAAAAGGTCAAACTCCCAGCTCCGGCCAGCGTGAGTCACACCATAAAAAAAAAAAAATGGCAAGGCACTATAATGAGAGGCACAGAGCTGCAGCACACTGTGGCTGTTCATTTCAATCACGTAACGTACGCAGTGGGCAGAACGTCCCGGACAAAAACACGGGAGGACCTCAGAGGCATGTCTGGGATGTGATTTAGTTTAATTGCCTCTGGTGCTATGTGTGGGTGAAGTTCAAGCTGCTCACTCCCCCGCCCCACACACACACACAGCCCTCCCACCACCGAAGCATGTCCAGTCAGACCAAAACTGTTACATTTTCATTTGATCACACACTCCAGCTTTTGCATTCTGCAGAAGAATGGAAGGAACCACAAGCAGATATCAAAGACTTCCCTGGAAATGAAGCTTCAAGTGTTTCAACTCAACAAATTCCTTTCCACCATAAGTCATGCTTGTTAAAATTATGTTTCACTTTCCTCTGTGTTCACTTCACTGACACAAAGAAACAGAAAAGGAAAGACGAACATTTCCAAAGTGAAGATGCCTGAAAAAAATAAATAAATAAATTAAACGGGGAGTAAAATGCAGGGGTTAGATGTAGGGCTTTTGTCAGCTCCATTGGGTCGGCCATTCAATTCACAGCAGTGAATTTCTCTGGAAGTTAAAGCTATAGCTAGTGCTGCACATAAATATATGACTTCAGGTCATTGCTAAAACATTAATAAAACTAAAAGGTAGCAATAAACCCTGATGAATGCTCATAAATACATCTCAATGAGAGAAACCGACGTTTTGTTGATTGAAGTTTTCCTTTAAAAGATTGACTGCAGTCAGAGCATTTGGTCAGTGCAGACGATGCATGGACAGCAGATGTCAGCACTGCACTACTGTGCTCACATCACAAACAAACCTCAAAGTCAAAGGTGAAATTAAATGTTTGGTATCAGTCGTCAGTGTGCACCAGAGGCATTTGTCGTGGCTGAAGTGGCATAATGTGCTTAAGATGAGATGTACGTTTGTGTGTGAGCCGTAACGTCTCTTGAACTTGGTTTCCTCATGAGTAACCAGATCAAATCAAGAAGCCAGGCAGCTAATTGAAAGCAGATATGCCGTCACGTGTGGATCCAAACAAACACACCCATGGAGCTGCGAACAAACCTTTTCCAGCTTCCTCAGTCTTTCACACCCATAGCAGACAACGCCCATGCAGCTCCTCCCTTTATCTCGTGTAAAAGTTTAAGGAAAAAAAAACCCACAAATGATGGAAAACACTAGTTTTTTCCACTTCTAAACTGTGTAGAATATAAATTTATTATTATTATTAAATTTATTATGTTTATTATGTTACATGTTCGTGTTTAATAGGTTATTTCATAACATATGTTTCGGTTCTGCAAATGTCAGCACTGTGTGGCACCTGATTGGGGAGTTTCTGCAACTTTCGTTTCCACACCAAGGGCAGAAAGCACACAATGGTCTTATCACGTTACTTAGATAACTCCCATACCCCTGCTATACCGTTACAGAATGGTATTCAGGTAATGCACTTATCTCCGGATAAAGAAAGAGACGAAGAAAAAAAAAACACAAGAAGCTGCCAAAAGCACAGTATTACAGAAGAGAGCCACACCTTCCTGGAGTTCAGATGGGTTTTAACTCACACACACCAAAGTCTGCAGAGCAGTGGTGAGGCTGAATCTCAGCAAACAGCCCCACCTTGTCGGACTGACGACACTTCTGCATAATCCATTTGGCAAATGCCCAGAGATGTCCCCGGAGATTATGCATCTTAAGCGTAAACATGCCTTGACAGTATTTATCAGACTGGGAGTCCCCACCCAAAAGTGTGTAATGGTTTTAGCAGCGTAGCGTTCTCCAGTTCTGTGCAGGGAGATATTACCTGCAGAATTAGCAAATGAAGCAATACACATAAAATGTTGTGCGTTACGTCCATGTCTAAAAGTTGTCTTGCAACTGACAGCTTCAACACGACAGCAAGCGCAGAGCAGCTACTGCCTGATCTGTCTCAGCACACATGGCCAAATCACAGCCACATGTCAACGGTCTCCTCACACCCACATGCTGAAACAATTCCTAAAAGGAGACCGTCTCCACATCTAGGATAAGCCTCCGCAACACAAAACTACCCTAACCCTAACCCTAACCCTATGCAAATAACAAAGACTGAAACGTAGGGGGGTGGGGTTCTCCCTACTATAAGCGAGGAAAGAAAACTGTAAATTATGTTTTCTTGAAGCAGCAACAGAGCCGTCATCAAAAAAACCTTAGCTAAGACCTCCCACACTTCAAAAAGAAAGGTGGGATCCTAACTTCAAGAAGAAGGGGAAAAAAACTCCATCACGTGCGCAGACAGATTAGGACAGTGCAGGAAGTGGGTCAGTTCACATGCATTCGAACAAACCTTCAATGAAGTTAGGCCATGTCTTCTCCTCTGGCTCTGCCAATGAGTGGTCCCAGTCAGTGTCAGGTGAAGCCCCTTGCACCTTGACCCTTGTAGCACCGGCCAAGAGAGCTCGCTCTATGGCGATTGCCTCCAGAACATCTAGGTCCAGCTCCTCGTCTTCATCCCCCTCTGCTGTCTTCACAGGTGGGGGAGGTGACTGCTGCCCGGTTGCCTGAGGGCTGACGATTTGCTTCACCTCAACTATCTCCTCCACCACTACTATTTTCTTCCTCATGTTGGCCTCGTCTGTGTCGGCGCTGTTGGTGTCCCCCAGGTGAGGCTGGTCAGGCTGGGCTGCGGGTGTGGCAGTGGCAGAGGGTGTGTCCTCCGACAAGTCCCTCTTCTTGTCTTCTTCGTGTACTGAGGCCTCCGAGACCGAGAGCCTTTCCTGTGTGCTGCACTCTGCTGCCTGCCTGGCTGAATGTTGTGCAACTCTGGGAGGCTCTTCTTGCCTGGAGAGAGGGCTGGCCTGTGCCTCAGCTGACGCTAAATCTTCGGGTGCGGGTGCTTTCCTCGCACTGGAAGATGTTTTTGCTTTTGGAACCTCCCGCTTGGTTTTTTCTGCAGAGGGCTGCGTTAGCTCCACCTCCCCTTTGTCTGTCGGGGCCTCAGAGAGCACAGCTGCTGCCTGCCCGACTTCCTCACTGCACATTCTTTCAGGAGTCATCTTTGAAGAAACGTTAGTTCTTGTCATTTCAAAGGCCACAGCTGGGCTATCCCTGCCTGCAGCCATAGGCAGTGTTGTTATGGATGACAGTGTTTCTCCTTCAGTCGCAGGGACAAACTTTGTGTTTATGGTTTTTTCCTCTTGTGACACCTTAACCTGTTTTTTCTCTCTTTTCTTCCCCTTTGGCTGCTTGTCTGCAACTTTCTCTGTGCTCTGCAGAGACATAGCCTCAGCAGTTACTTTCTCAGAGTCTGACTGGGCCGCTCGTATTTTTTTCTCAGGTTTCGCACTCTCTCGCATGAGCTCAACCTGACTCACTTTCTGCACAGTCACTGTTTCCACATTGGAAACAGTGATTTCCTGAGATTTTTCTGGGTCCATGTCAGGGGCTGCAGCCTGTAACTTGGGAGTCATTTGTTCCTGAGTGGCGGCAGTGACGGTGATTTCCTCAGTTTTATCTTTTGCTAGAACAGCTGCAGGAGAAGGTGGGACTTCATCTGGCTTCATCTTAGCTTTTGTAAATGTCTCCTTCTTTAGCTGATTGTCAGTTTTTTTACGGTCACTGTCCACTTTGGCTTCCCTTTCCGTCTTGACAGAGGTAGACACAGTTAGGAGCTCAGAAGTAATTACTGTTTTCTGGTGGAAGGTTTCTACCTTCACTTCCTGGGAGTCGTCTTCTGACATTTTCTCCTTTGTCTTTGACTGAGGATGATCCTGTTCCACAGTGATCTTGGAACTCTCACCTGGAGGCTTCTTTTTCTTTTTCTTGGACTTGGGGGTCCCGTCACCTGCTTGTTTAGCATCTTTACCCTCCTCTGTTGCAGCATCCTTCTGAGTGGAGAGAGATGAACGGATGACCTGTTGCACTTTAAGGTCCTGCCCTAAAACTTTAGAAGCCTCTCGTGGCGACACTGTTTCATCCTTCTTGGCTTTTGGCATCTCTGTTAGATCAGTTTCCTCCAGTTTAATGATCATCTCTGTTGCAGTATAGTTCTTTTGGATCAGTTGTGGATCTTCCTGTTTTGCCTGAGTTTTGGGAGTGGTGTTAACTCCCTGTGATGAGGGTCCTGCTGCTTGTGCCACTTTAGGAGGGAAGGCCTGAGCATCAGGCTTTGCAGTAAGAACTGGTGAGCGTACTTCTGGCTGGACGGGTTCTTGAGTCACTGTGATGTTGGAGATGCCGTCTGTTTCCTCAGTGGTCCATATTGGGCTGCTGGTCTGGTTAGCCTTATTGGTTTTGGCGCTCTTCTTGTTAACTTTGGCAGTCTTCTCTTTGATATCACTGCCAACTTCAAGTTTCACCAGGGCTTGGGGCTTTTTATCAGTTGCCTTAACTGACTCATCAATAACTTCCTCTTTCTTTTGCTTTTTAGGATCAGCATCAACCAGTCTAATCTTTCCAGAGGTGACAGAGCCAGAATAAACTTTGGAAGTTTTATGAGTGCATTCCATTGTAAGAACCGGTTTGGGCATTGGCATTTCATGTACCGTGACTTCATCTGGTTTTGTTTTGTCTTCTGTAGCATCCCCACTCGGAAGCTCGGCTGCTGTCGGACTGATCTCCTGAGTGAATTTCACAGAAGAAACCTCCCGTTTTGCGACATTTGTAATTTTGACACTTGTCTGAGCAGCAGACGAGCTAACTGCCATCTTTGATGCACCTGCAGCCACACCGGCTGCAGCCACAGATAATGGTAAGGCCACTGAGGAGGAGATCAGGGAGGCCTGGGACTCATCCTGCGTCAAAGCTGCTGTTTGAAGCGGAGCAGAACTGGAGTTCATCTTCTGAGTACCCAACATCCTTCTCTCCTGTGACTCTACCTGCCTTTCATTTCTCACGCTAGGCCCTTGATGAGTGAATCGTTTTGTGCTTTCCACCTCTTTGACTGATTCGCTGTTGAAGCTGGCACCTCTCCGGTAGAGAGGCTGATGCTGGTCCCTAGCCTCCAATGACAGCTTTGGCCTCACTGGTTCCTCAGTAAGTGGACGGCCCCTGAACCTAGGGGTCCTATCGTTGTAATTCCCCCGTTCTCCTGGACCCATCGTTTTGTAGCGATAGCCTCGGCGTTCAGCTAGCGCTTCTTGGCTCTCGGACTCGTCCCTGCGACCTGGCTTGGGAACGTAAGACGTAGGGCCTTGCACAGACTGGACCTGCGCAGCGCGATGAGCAAGGGCCAGGGTAGCAGCTGGTCTCCTAACCCTCTGCAAAGAGGCTGGAATAATCTCAGCAGGCAAGTGGAGGTAGTCGCGCAGGTAAACAATGCCATCGTTGGTCAGGTACCAGTAGAAATGTCTCCAAGCAAATGTTTCCCGTACATAGCCTCTAGATTTCAGAGAGCCCATAGCACGGATTACTTGGAGATTGGTCACATCTCGTACTTCCGGGTGCTTGATCTGAGGCCTCTTGTCCTTCTTGGCCACCATAACGCCATCTCGAAATAATACTTCATAGATGGCTTTCAGTTCATGCATCGGCATCAGCATTCCGGCAACCATTGTGCTTTAAGTCAGTTGAAATATAATGACAGAAAGAAAAAAGGTCAACCACTGGTAGTAAAGAATCCAGTGGAAAAACCAGTTGTCATGTGCTTCTCAATTCAATTTAAAGTAAGTTGAAAGATGAAAGCATTAGTTTTCTTACTGTCTCTTCCTCGCGGTTGATCCTTTAGTTTATTTGTGAAGAAAAAAAAAATTCCTCTTTTTAAAAACAAAAAGTCAAAAAGTGTTCTGTCCCCTCTTCACTTAGAATGGCCGGGCATGGACACTCTCAGTTCTGTCGAGACGGCAATGACAGAATGGAAGAAAGGCAGCGCGTGTGAGCGAGGGAGGGAGTGAAAGCGCACTTCGCAGTCTGACTCCACCTACCTTCTTATTCTTAGAAGGGAAAAAAAAAAAACATGGGCATGGACAAAAAAATTCCCACTAAAACAAACAAAACAAAAAGAGTTGCCTCCAAATAAATCAAGAACTATTTAGAGTCAAACGAGTGCAGCAAAGCACGTCTACAAAAGTGTGCACAAGCACATGTTCTGCTGTTCCGACTTTCAGAGAGAAACCCACCCACAGAGGAAAACACGCCTCCGATTCAGCACACACATGCACACCTCTAGCCAGCTGACACACACACACACACACACACACACACACACACACACACACACACACACACACACTCACACACCCACACCCACACACTGTCTCATCAGTCCAGCGAATGTGTCAGAGATAGTAGTGAGGAGAAAACGAGATGACCCTCCTGGGTCGATTGGGTTCACACACACACACGAGTCCGCACTACTGAAAGGGGTCGAGTTTTACACATTTCTGCGTCAGGTATCACTAAATGGTTTCCACACACAAAGTTTGAGGTGTGGCTTCTTTAAATAAACAGACAAACGAGACATACATCTGTAAATGTGTGTTTCATAAGGACGAGGTGCGCAATGATTCACAAACTACGTTTGCCTAGATGAGTAACAGTGTGCTTCTATTTACACGTCTGTGTTGAGGGTGTCCAGGAGCCCGTAAGAAGCACCACATGGCATTTCCTAAAGCTAAGCATTAAACTGATGCAACAGCTTGTAAAGCAGCCTGAAGTTGTGTCGCTGCTTCAAACCGCTAACTTTAGAGCATCTACTTGTAAACCAGGTTATTTTTTTCTTCCTCGAAACCAAATAAAGAGCTGCGCATTATAGCGATGCCTTCTCTCGCTCCGCCTGGGACCAGATATCCGATTTCCATCCTCAGTGTCCCGTTTCTCCTCTGTACATCTGTCTCCTGTTTGTCTCTCTGTCTGTCAGAGAAAGTGTCCCGTCACCCCGACCAGAAAAACTGGAAGGGAGGTCGACAGCTGCTGGCTCGGAGCGGAGCCAGCAGCTCGTGTTCATTCGCATGGAGGAGACGGGATTTACTGTAAGCAGACGGCACTGGACACCAACACAGTGATCTGGTAGTGAAATTATAGTGGTGGTGAATGAGAGGCAAAGCAATCACGCAGTTCCTCCTGCTGTTTTTTTGGAAACCCCTCCATTACACATCCAAACACTGTTTTGCCTTTTGCTTACCATGGCAACAGTCAAATAAAGTGAGCCAAGGCTGAGGGAGACACGTTTTCCTCGCTCTCTCCAGTCTGCAGCACAGAACCAGCTGAACACACTTTTAGTTATCATGAGTTAGCTTGACTCCTTCAAGCTCCTCATCAAGCTTTTTCTTATTAAAACAATCTACTCTATGCTACTTGGTTGCTTTTGTCCATGCAGAGACTCAGAGTTGATGCTTCAGGCCACATCAAAAAGCAATCCACCGACAGCAGATATGATTTATCTTTTCATAATATGCATGTCAAGGCAAAACTACAAAAGAATGGGAGGAGTAGATGAAGACAGGAATTCTCAGGCGTACGAATTGGACCAGAGAGTTATTCTGACATTGCGAAACAAGAATTTCCTCACCGACTTGTGAGACAGAGATTGCCTGACGATGACAAAGAGGTCGAGCAGGTGACAGGCTGACATTCAGTTTCATTATAGACAGGCTTGTTCACTGCTGCACACAGAACTGCTTACTTGGTTGTTAATGCAAAACCAGATGATGTGTGGACTTTGATGCTTTCATATTTTAATGATACACTGGGATCCATTGTAAACCCTGATGTCTCCAGGGGCTAAGCTCTCCGGTTTCTATAAAAAAATCAATTAAAAAAAAGACTTAATAGATGGACTAATCTGGAAAGAAATCAATGTTGGTATTCTGTGTAACAGAAAACTGATCATGCATGCAACTTATAACCGGTTTGTGTCATTTACCCACTCTCATTCCGGTGGCAAGATAGTGAAGATGCTGTTTTGCTAGTAATTTTGTACATCCTCATAAGGAGTATCTAAAGGGACGTTTAGGGAAGATAAAAAAAACTTTCTCCTGCGTAGCAGATAGCATCTGTTGCACACAAGATGCTGTCAGATTTGCACGTGAAGCTATTTGGTGCGCACAGGAAAGATAATTGATTTTTTCCTACAGTGTCCCTTTAAGGGCTCCATATTGCCATGCCCACATTTTGTGAACTAACAAACTTTACTCGATTATCTGCTGTTTACTGTTGTATACAGTCTACTGCTATCAGCCAGTATTCAGACAGAATACTGGCTGATCATGTTGATGATCATGTTCACTAATAATTGCGGGAAGTGAGTCAGTAAAATCTAGGTTGAATACAGGTCCACTTCTTTCCTACATCTGTTTCGATCTGTTCAGGGTGGCTCGGCTATCACGTTATTATTACATCATAAACAAGTGTCACAGCAACAAACGCAAAACTGGAAGAAATATGACGTAACTGACTGAATAGATGACAGGACAATGGATTATCTGAACAACTTCCTAGTTAGGACTCAGCCTCCGCTGTGTCAGACCTCCCCACGTCCCAGAATAGACTTGTCACCACCACCTTCTTGAAGATGGCAAATTGCCCAAAGTAAAGACCCGCTGCTTGGGGTGTTCAGTGGTGTGTCCTCCCCCTGATATCGAACCAAAGACACTCCACAAAAAAAAAAAAAAGTTCAGCAGATACGCCTTACAGCAAAAAAAACCCTTCATTGATCTACTTTCAGTAATGTTGTTTACCCAACAACACCAACCTAACACATTTATGGTTATGTTTAGCCAGAAGGAAGATGACGACTTCAGCACATATAACCATTTTCACAGGAATGTTATCAATATCAAAGAACTTTCTCAAAACTCAAAACATATTTAGAACTTATAATTAGAGATGATAACTTCTTTTTTTTCCTTTTTTTTATCTCTTACTTTTCTGTTCTACCGCCATCAGCTGGCTATTTATAAGTCGCCTAGGATAGTTCAATCATCAACATTTGGTTCTCACTGAGTTGGTCAAGACTTGAACATGGACAGATGTCTTAAAAATCATGACTTGTACTTCTGTTGAATGCTTCTGCAATGTGCCAGCGCTCACTTTTCATTCAGATGAAAAGCCTATTCTAATTTAAGGAGCCCGTCCTGAGAGTGGGACTGCTGAGGCACGTGACCCCTCCCCCGACGGGACAGGTGTTGCCCCAGACAGAACTGACGCGTGGATGTGCTAAACTCGGGGATCCCTGTAAGGAAATTTATGTTAGGTCAGGATGGTCACTTATATTTGGGTAAAAATTCACGTAAGCTGACACAGGAAGTGACATTTTGAGGCATTTTTTTAACGGGTGCCCAGACAAAAAAAGTCAGTTGAAAATCACTATGAGGCATTTCTACGAGATAACGGGCCAAAAACAACCCAGCAGTAGTCGGAATCATTTTCACAACATTTAAAAAGTATCTGATTTGGGTGAATAACTTGTGGCTATGACAGCGGCTGTGAAACGTTTTGCAGAGGGTTTTCCTGCGACGTGGTACGGAGACGTTTGACGAATGTCCAAAAATGCTTCTATTCTTTAAAATTGATCAGCATAAAACAGCCACACGTGTTCTTCACCCTAGAGTCAATTCTCCTCCCTGAGCTGCTATTGCTGTCTGAAGAAAAGCACCGCTCCCGCTCCATAATAATCAATCAGAGCTGGGAGGAGGGTCTCAGCGCTGTCAATCATCCTGGTGTACTCATTGCTAAATGTGATAATGGGGGAGAAACCACTTACCATTACAGGAAAACCATTTATCTGCTGTTATTGTGGCTATGCTAACTAGCATTAGCATTCAGAGCAGGCTACGCCAGCTGCAGCTTACCAGAAAAACTAAACAACACAAGATTGTGATGTTCAAAAATCTTTTTTTTTCTTTCTTTTTTTACAAAACAGGGACATGGCTACTTTTGCACAACACTATTACTAAACTTTGACCGTTACACGGTCAACAGAAAGCATTCATCCCAACTTCAAAACAACATTAACCTGAACATGGCGCCAAAACAGGGAGAGATGTTATCCTTTGAAACACAAGAAGAGTAAAGCATTAGCTTCTGCTATAGCTTGACTCTTATACACTTGGGTTAATTGCACTGATCCGTCCAGTTTGCCTAAAAACTAATACCATCTCTCTATAGTCTGTCGGTTGGCAAGCAAGAGCCTGCATAGTCGCAACCATTTGGGCAGCACATGGTTGGCAGAAGACCCAGATGCTGCTAGCATAAATTTTGGCTTTAGAGATGTTTAGGCACTATGAACAGGCAGAAGAATTATGACCAGAGGAGAAAAAAAAGCTCTCTAAATGCAACTGTAAATCGTTAGAGAGGGGGTTAACCGTGGTACGGCTCCAAACAAAGCAGCGCTGTCTGACAGGAGGCGGTGAAAGAGGTGTCTTTGGCATTTCTCACTCTGCTGCAAGAAGAAATAATCAACTCTTGGACTGGCTGAAAATGAAAACAGAGAGCCGAAAACGCTGGAGGAGGCTTTGCTCCGCCGCTAAACATTCTGAAATCAATCAGACCACTGAAGGAACTGCTCTTGTGGTTCTGCCAAGTGAAGCTTTACTTGTCTCATAAATACCTTTAGAGTTACTTGGATGTTTTCTGTGCACCTTTGGAGCAAATCAAGCGTTTTCTCCCGAAGAAACGTTCATGTAACTGTTACTACTGAGAAAAGGGGGGAAAAAATGGCAAGGTGGCGTTGGAAGGAAAGGATTAATCTTCAGCTTTTGTAACATGAAGCTGAAATTGACGTCAGAAGAAGAAGTGATTGCTGTACGAGCGGAGAATAAAAGCAAGTTCAACTTTCTGCCTTTATTTTTTTTATTTGTGTTCCCGATGTTTAATGTCTGCTAA